CTGTACTGGTGTCTGGGGTTATTCCTCCCTAGGTGCAGGACCTTGCACTTGGCCTTGTTGAATTGCATGAGGTTTTTCACTGCCCAGTTGTCCAGTCTGTCCAGGTCCCTCTGGAAATAGAGGAGCAGGTGTGTTGGACTAGATGATCTCTAGAGGTCCCTTCCAACCTTACCCATTCTATGATTCTGTGTGATTCTGTGATATGTGCTGGTTGTTGTCATTTTGCATTTGAAAGGTAACTTTCTGCTTTGGTCTGATATTTATGTATAAATTCTTGGCCAATGTTGGTAAGAAAGGGATATTATATGTAGCCTGCTTCATCAGTGTTCTTTTTTTTAAAAAAAAAAATGTCTTCAGTACAGTTTTTGACAAATCTTCATAAGCTTGTGTGTGTGTGTGAAATGGCTAGTCTTAAACTCATAAGCCACTTTTGAGTTGTCCCACCTGCCAGTCTTGCCTCTCTTTCCTCTCCTTTTTCCCCCTTCCCCTGCTTCCCCCTCCAGAGGAGGGAGAAAGAAAAAGGGGGGGGGGCATCTTTGACTTTGTTTGGTGTAAAAAGCTGCATAGACAAATCGATCTGACCAGGGTAGATAAAAACATCATGATGATGGTTATAGCAGCCTTGATATTACTGTCAAACACACCTCTACTCCTAGCCAGGGTAGACTTGGTCCTTTTGAGTAATTCTGTATATTCCTTTATGTTATGTTAGTAATTTGCTGCTGGAGGAACCTGAAAGCAAATTTTTGGCAGTGTTAAGCCTATAATTCAAGATGGACTGGAGTGGAGTGAAGCCTCTCCACACCTCTCCTTCGAAACAGTTAGATGATACTTGACAGTTGGTTTTGAGGTTATATGCTCTTAAGATATCCCATTCCATTAAAGAAAAACCCTTCTTTGTCCTGGTTTTCTTGGCTGGAAAAGGTTTCCTTGGCTGGAAGGAGCTGTTTATCACTGCAAAACCAGAACTCTAGGGCCTATTGCTATCTCTTTACCTTGCCAGCCTCAGCTCTGTGCTGCTGCTAATGAATTAAAAGTATAAAGAGAAGTCGCTTGTTATCCCTAAAGCGCTCTTTTTTGTGTGTTTTAGTTTACTAGATGGCACCTAAGGGGAACAGGCGGGGGGAGCCTTCAGAAGAACAAGTCTTATCTATAGCTGGAGATGTGTAAAAGGAAATTCTTCTCTCCCCATCTCAACCACCCAGTAGTAGACCTTGTTCTATCTAGTTTCAAAAATTGATGAAACCCTTGTTTATATTTTAATTACTAGGTAGTTAAGTGGCAGAGTGCGGGAACAGCATCAGATTTACATGGTAATCCTATGAGCTTTGGCACACTCCTGCAGCAAGTCGTATTTTTGTGGTATGTTTTGAATCCTCCTTCGCGTTTAGAACCGCCGCAACGGCCGCCCCCGCCACGGCCGTTAGGGGCGTCACGAGCCGCCGGGCCCGCCGCCTCCCGCCGCAGCGCG